TTAAGACTCCTGGCTGAAAATGTCCAGGTTCTAGTTTCATTTAATCCATAAACTGTGTGTGTTTGGACTCATCTTCCAGAGTGTTCTCCTGCTGACACATCCTCATCCTCGTGCTTTTTCTGTTTGTTACACTGCTAGCATGGTTCTATATCTGTTTAGTGAAGGACATAATGTGAGTATATTTACCATATGGTTGCTGGGAGCAAGATGAATGGGGAGCTGACTAAGAATGTATTTATTATTTAAGAAAATCAGAGCCAAGGAAGAGAAGGACAAGTGTAGAGAACTCCAGAAAGCTTTCACCAAACTAACTGAGGATGGAAATACCCATTGGCCATAGTTTTAAAACATTATTTGTATATGTCTTGCCTTCTCTAGGTACTTTAACCCCTTATAGGAGTAAGAATCTGAGTTTGTGAGGTTTCTAATGCAGCTTCTGACCTGCAAAGATGGACAAACCAAACTGTCTCCTTTAATCAGAGCAAGTTTTAAATTGAAATTACTGACTCCTCTTTTTTGTAAGCTTTTCTAGCAGTTGTTTAGGAAACAACCATGACAAACCTGTTATTTACTAATGGAACCAGATAAATTATCAGGACATGAAGCCAGCACCCAATAGCTGTGCTCTCAGCTAACTCTCTGAGAGCTGCTGCATTCAATAAATTAGTCAAAAAAGTGTACAATATGGATAAAATACTGAGTAAAATTAATCCCTGATAAAACTGACCTTAAGTCAGTGGTTATGTCCTTTAGTGTCCTTTAGAGTTCCATTGCTAAAACACAATAGTAGGAGTTTGTAGCAGGAATTAAAGCTTTTGGTTAGCTCAGGAGTGGGGTTTATGTCTCTCCAGTACTTCAATCCCAGGAGGCTCAGCTCTTACAGTATCTGAACAACATTTAAGCCAGAAATTATCTGTAGAATTTACCCTGTACAAACTTTTGTAAATTCAAACGAATATACTCTCAGTCTAGGGATCCAGCTATTCACATGTGAAACAAATGTGTCTTTGGGCAGAGGAGTTAAGTCAGATTCACTGCATGTGGGACTTCTCCTTCAGACACACAGCATTTAAATGCTAAGCCTGAAAGCTTTGCAAAATTAGTATAATTTCAGAAAATCATATATGTTAACCAGAATAACTACCTAGGATTAAATTTTGCTTATTTAAACTGCTTCTACTTTAAAAAATAAACAAAAAACAACAACAAACAAAACTCAGCAAAACCCAAAGCAAACAAGCACCCTCACCTTAAACAAATGACCAGAAAAAAACAGAGACAAACCCACTTCCTTTTGACCAAGGAGAAAATTGCTCCAGCTGAAGATTCTTCTTCTTACAGGTATTTTACAATAAGCACACATACAACTGAACTCCCCCATAACCCCATATTCACCTTGCAGCTCTTCTTGAGGTTGATCCCCCACCAGAATACAGTGATTCCCACAGCTCCATGTGAGGCTGCAAAGCCAAACAAGCTCAGAAACTTGCAGAAGAACTACAATGGATTAAAATAGGCTTTCAGAACCTTTTTTTTTTTTGAGACCTTCCAATTTTACTCAAAATTTCACAGAAGAGATTCCAGAGAAATGGGACCATGTTATTCAAGTACATTTCTGAAATCATTTTTACCTTTGGTTAATGACTGTCAATTTCCTGTTCATTAAACTTGTGAAGCTGGCTAAGAGGAAATAATTCTATGGAGCTGAAATGGCTTGTATTGCCCCAGAGAATTAATTACTTTCAATCCACAGAACACATTTAACACTTTCATAGAATCATAGAATACTTTGGGTTGGAAGGGACCTTTACAGCTCATCCAGTCCTACCCCCTGCAATGAGCAGGGACATCTTCAACTCAATCAGGTTGCTCAGGGCCTTGTCCAACCTGACCTTGAGTGTTTCCAGGGATGGAGCATCCACCACCTCTCTGGGCAATCTGTGCCACTGTTTCACACCACATTGTAAAGAAATTCTTCCTCTTACCTAGCCTGAATCTACCCTCTTTTGGTTTAAAACCATTGTCCCTTATCCTATTGCTACAGGCCCTATTAAAAAGTCTGTCCCCATCTTTCTTAAAAGTGCTCTTCAAGTACTGAAAAGCCACATTAAGTCCTCCCCAAAGTCTTCTCTTCTTCAGGATGAACAACCTCAACTCTCTCACCCTTTTCTCACAGGAGAGGTGCTTCAGCCATCTGATCACTTTAGTGGCCCTCCTGTGGACCAGCTTTTCTGTATGACATAAACCCATGCCACATGAAGCCAGAAATACCTACTGCTTGATAGAAGCTGACTACTTTCAGAGTCAGATCCAGCCTTTTTTTTAATATCTGGCAATCTTCCAAAGTTTGTCCTGATTTAGGTCATGTTCTGGTAGTGGCTCTGGTTCTCTTCTCCCACCTCTCTTCCTAAAATGTCTCCTTTATGCAATTTCTTTAAAAACAAAAGAGGTTTCACCAAAATAGGAAAAAAATTACATCTGCACTTGAGCAGCTGCACTCACTTTAAATGGATTTTAGGGACTAAAGAATGACAAGTTAAAATTAATCTACAGAAATGCAAAACAATTTTAACATACTCTTAGTAGACTGGATTTAATAAAGGGAACCATGGATCAAACAATGGAAATGCTGTTTGTTGTAATCTAATGGTTTAACATTCTTGCGCCTATTTAAAAATACAGGTTTGTAATAACATGCTCATGCACAGAAATAATCATATTTTTTTAATTAAAAAAAGGTTTTGAACTTTTCAAATGGGTAACAAGGGAAAGCAGAAGGACTTCACTGCCTTCCAAAGGTTAACCTGGATTTATAACTATTTGCCTGATTTCCCTGTGTTTTTGCTTCCTCCTAAGAACTGAAAAGGCAAAGTAGCTTCTCCTAATCCTTTTTCTAGCTCAAGTGGATCTTTGATCCCTAAATATCAGCAAATGTGGTCCTTACAGAAATATAACAGAGAATTAATGCTCTCTTTTTTTCACTAATAGGAATCATATTAATGGCAACCACTGATAATTATTATGCCTGAATATTACCTTACATTGTCAGAAGCCATTCTGTGTTTCTGCCCATGGAAAAGTAAGGCAAACAGCAAGGAGTAGCACTTTACATCCAACAAAAGCCCTTTGCTACAAGCAGATAAATGTATATAAATGTTCTGTGGTGTATTCCTACTGGTTTTCCACACACAAACCATGACACAGCATCTTCTGCACTGAAAAAGAAAATACAAAATTAGTTTGGTACAATCATGTGCAACATTTCAGTAACAGTAATTTCCCATCCATGCTTTGAGTTCATCAATAATACATATTTTTAAGGAGTAATGCAATGCAGCTATAGGACATTCAGATGCTCTTCCAACTCAATCAACTGTACTTTGTGTTCAGCTGCAGTAGGTGTTTCTGAATATGATAAGTATTTCATACAGAAGATAAATGCCACAAAACCACTTAGGCAGGCAGATTACAATGGAATCAAGCCAATACATCCTAAAACTGATAGAAGAATTATCACTTCTTAAACATCATACAATTAAACTGCAGAACTCACTAAAATGTGTTACTAGAGGGCCTAAAAGCTGTCAAAATCAGACATTAACATAGAAAATAGAAATTCTAGTAACAATAAAAAATTACAAATTATGGACATGCTTTAAGTTAACTCAAACATGAGCTGGCAGTGGTTAGGAGAAAGAAAAGCTCTTCTCCTGGCAAATAATGACAATTATAAATTTGAAATCTTTCCTACTTTGGTGTAAGGCTGATGCTAACCAATACAAGAGACAGAACATTGCAGCACAGCACACTCACTCTGCTGAGCTAAGGACCATGAACAAATCTGTCATTTTAGAAGACTAGAGAACGCGAACATTTTGCAGCTTATATATTTCACTGAACTGAACCTGATGAGATGACAGCCACTGCTGGGTTTGTTTTTTGGTTGGTTTGTTGTCCTAAACCATTCTGGGAATACATATGCAATCTTCCTCTTTGCAAGTTATGATGATTATGCATTAGTACAATTATATTGGCTAAAAATATTCCCTGTTCTAAATAGGCCCATGAAAGCAAAGCAAGCTGTGCTGCTATGGGCACTGCCTCGCTTCCCTCACGTTTGTGTGTTTCCTGCACAAACATTCCCTGGTGAAATCTCACTGTCTCTGACCCCTGACTATTCCCGGCAGTTTTCACTGGCTAACTCTCAAGTCACACCCCAAATATCTTTCCAGATTTTGGAGGGAGAAGCACCGTAAGAGTCCTGTGCAATTGTAACTGCCAGACATATTGTTACACTTGAGAAATCCAGCAAGTCTTCTGAGTCTTAAATTGGGAATCAGGAGGTGGATTTTTAAATATATATTTTAGTATGTCTGGTTCTGAGCAGCAAGAATCCAGCTGGTGAGTTAAGGTATTTGATGCAGAATTTCAGAAGAAAACAGAATGAAAGCAAAATTTATTAGATGGAGGACTCAGTGAAATCTACTGCAAAGGATTTTCCAAAGGAAGGGAAAAGGGAAGGGACCTCCCAGGTGGTTTAAAGTGCACCACTGTCTAGAAGGGTTGGAATGTTCTTGCCTCAGTGAATATTGTTAAATCAGTGCCACTCAAAGTCACCTCTACAGATATACCGAAGTTTAATACCAATATTCTGCAAATTAAAATCCTGCACAGAAAACCCACAAAGCCTTCTGCAATGCTCTGACACCATCCATGCTATATTGTACAATTTAGGCACATATCAAATGTATTATTAGTGCATTTCTCCAAGAGACAATGCAAACAATTCCTATAAAAGTGAATCTGCACAGTATGAATGGGTTTGTTGTTAAGAACATTCTGCTTCAGTAGAAGCGCCAATAAAAATGTTTAAATGAAAAATATAGGTGTATTTTTCAGTTTGGGGTTTGGGCTTTGCTTTTTTTTTTCTTCTTTCCCCAGGCCTTTTTTCCTACAGTACAGCTCTCCTTGAGACAGGCTTCTATCACAGGAAAAACGAGATGAGTACATTTCCCATTTCGTTAAATGTGTGCGCCAGCTACTTCATTCAGCAGGTGGGTCACGATGGCTTTGGAGAAAAATAAGGCTCCTCTGAAAAAGAACAGGCTGAAAAAATGTTGGGAAAATTAGAAGGTGCAGGAGGTGATTATTATGTTGGAGAAATTAACATGAAATAAACTAGGGTGCAAATTGTCAGTGCCATTACTTCCTCTGCAGTAATTCTCTCCACGGGTGCTTTGGCTCACATTACCTGCATGTCCACACTGCTTTAACGGGGCACTCTGAACAAAGCCGGCCCCACGGCCAGCAGGGGATGAGATGCAGGATGCCCTGGAGTGCTGCAGTGCCACACTGCCCCAGCCACCCTGTCACCAGCACCGTCTGGAAGCCCCACCCAGCAGGGCCCAGCCTTGGAATCACTGCAAGGCAACCTATTACACTGGGTGGGTCCTGGTGATTCCAGCTCGGCAACAGCAAGGGAAAGCTCCCAGTCCTGAAAGCTCCTTTCGCCTTTCCCACATTTTGTGGGCTCTTCTCATAAGAGCCTGCCCAGCTTCTGAGCTCTCCCATTTGAGCAGCAAGGGGCAGCTCTCCTCCTCTCAGCCAGATGCTGCATCTGTGCCACACAGCTTGCAACGCAGAGGGTTCCTCAGGACACTTGACAGACATCTCTCCTCAAAATAACCAGTGGCAGTGCACTCAGGCTGGAATTATGCATCGATTCTGCAAGCTCAGACTCGCAGGAACAAATCCAGAACTACCACTATGCCAATTGGAAACCACCTGATTTGAATTAAAGCATCACTGGTGTCCAGTGCAAGTGGAGGAGAGAAAGGGGGAAAACACAATGGAGAGGTAGAATTTGGACAAATCATAAAGGGTGGATAGGTGGATGTAAGGTGGTACTGCAAGCCATAAAATTCCTTTTGGTTTATTGTTTGTTTGTTTGTTTGTTTGTTGACTTTTTTGTTTGTTTGTTTCTTCTTCTTCTCCTTCAGGGAACAGGGGCTGTGGGTTTTGGTTTTTTTTTTGTTGGTAAAGTCAAGAGGACAGACTGAAGAAAACATTCCTTAGGTAAATTTTTTACCAAACAAACAACTGGACTGCTACATTCTCAGACATGAATAATGGTGCCTTCCATCCCAAGAAGCAAAGGAATTTAAGGAGAGGGTGGGATATAGAAAATAGAAGGCATTTCACAATTTTTTTGTCCTCTCATTATGGTTCACTGCACTCATCTATTGTACTTGTGCAGCAGGTCTCTGAGGCTGACAAAGTGTGGCACATGTGAAGGGATGCTATGAGCAGCCAAGCAAAGAAACTTCTTTGGTTCCCACCTGCTGAAGCCAGTGTGAGCTATGGATCACCATACATCCTGCTGAATCCTTCAGCATTCAATCCTAAAAAAACAACCACAGTTTTAATAAAACATTGCTATTCTCTTACTGACCAAATGTTGGGGGATTTGCTGTTGTTATGGTAATAGGTATTTTAAAGTATGCTTTAAAATAAACAATGAAATGTGACACTTTGTCACTATGTACCCACTATGTTTTGCAGGTTTCCCAATCTGTCCTCTGCCCTTCCCCCCCAAATATATATAAATTCTTAATTTTCATTTACAGTTTAACAGTGTTGAAATGCTTATGCTGGAAACTGAATGAGAATATTCTGCCAGCCCACCCAAAACAAAATCCCTGCTTTCTCTCCTAAGATTTCCAAGGAATTTTTGATTACTTTTCACTCTGAAAATGTTCAATAACCTTCATTGATTCTAACATTGGTTTAAATCTTGTTGACTTTGCTGTTTCCTCTGTGCCCATTGTTGCCTCCTTTCAAGCTGGATTCCATGGATTTCAATGGCATTCTGCACAGTTCTGTTCTTGCAGATTTACTCATCAAGTCCAAGCTCTTGCAGTAGGGTGCATGTGGCAAAGTGTCATTATACAAAAATTCTGGTATGGTAAGTATCTGTCACAGTTGTGTCACCTTTATTCAACACAAATGAGCTCAAAAGTTACTTTCAGGTAGTTTGTTTGAGATTTCCCATAACACAATCCAGTGAGTAAATTGTGCTTAATGCTTACAGCGATGATATGGGGCAACCTACCTTGAAGAAGCTTCATCCCAGATAAGATGTAATGTAAGAACTCCCACATGACAGCCCCCTTTAAGCCTTACATATGTTGAAAGCATTAGGAATGAGGTTGGCTTTGGAAAGAAGCTGGAAGTTCTGCAGGATCATGTGTTTGGACTTGCCATCTGCACGGTCCAGGAGTTACTACACGGATCACTTTCCCCCAGTCATCTGAACCGTGAGTCACACAAACCGAAAGCGGAAGGCGGCTGTGTGAACAAAGCAGATGTGGGTGTTTGTGGGGCTTCTCCTCACCTCTCCAGAGCCTTTCTCTTTTGCCCTGCCCCATCCAGGGCAAGTACACTTAGACCTTTGGGAAGCCAGGGTGGCAGCCACCTTAGCCAGCACCTGGGATGGAGGCCAAGCTGTTAAAGGATGAAATCCCTCACGGCTGAGTCTATGGAAGGCTCCATGACTCAAACTTCCACCTCCAGCTGGAAGCCTGGCCATCTTTGTTTTGTTTAACTGAGCAGGAGCACTCCACTAGCTGAGTGCTCACCACGACAAACACAAATGTCTCCCCCGAGCCCTGGTTGTCTGAGGGGGGCCTGCAGCCCCGGACTGGCCGGTTCACGGCCAAAAGCACATGCAGGGAAATAGTTTCCAAACCCCAACAGCAAACCTGAAACTGGATCCGTACAGACAGGCTCCTGGAGCTCAGATAGCAAACCTCCTGCTCCGGGTCTGATTGCAAGCCCAGGGCTACCGTGGGCTATCGGCTCATTTTTTTACCTCAGCCAAACCCGAAATGTGGGCTGACGGAGGGGGCTTCAATAAATTTATTAAATAAATTTTTTAAAACCCCAAACAAACAAAAATCTAACAAACATCTATATTAGCATATATAGACTAAGGTACCCTTCTGTGAACGCGCCTACAGCTCGCACGGCAGGCCCCTAGCACTGGAGCTCTGTGAGGGCTGCAGCTCGGCAGCAAACGGCGCGGGGACGTGGTGGCCAAGCGGCCGCCATGCAGCGGCTGCGCCACTTGCGCAGGCCCTGATACCCCGAGCGGCGGCGCCGGCAGTCCCTGGCGTAACAGCGTTCGTGAATACCGGTGCTGCACTGCGGCGGCGGCACGGCGCAACCAAACCTCCTCCCTCCGCCGCCCACCCCAGCCCTGGTACCGCCCCCTTCCTCGGCTGTGATTGGCAGGACGGGTGGAGCGGTCGGCGGCGATTGGCGGGTGCCGGCGGGAGGTGGGGTAGGTTGCGTGAAGGGTGATAAAGTTAGTGGGGCTGCCGGGGAGCGCCCGAGACGCGGCGGCGGCGGTCGGCGCTCTATGGAGGTGGCGGGGGGAAGCGTCGGGTTGGTGCTGCTGCTGCTGTGGTGACTCGGAGACTCGCCCTGTCCCGCGCGCTCCCCCCTTCCCCTCCCCAGCCCCGGTCCCCGGCTCCCTTCCCCTCCCCCCCCTTCTCTTGCCTTTTCCCCTGCCCTTGGTAGCCGCCGGGACCCGGGGAAGCTGACAAGGCCTTAGGGAAGGTGAGAAATGCGGGAGTGGCGGGATAAGCGCGGATCTGGGGCCGGGAGTGAGCGGGTACTGCTGCAGCTGCAGCCTAAAATGGCGGCTGCCCAGAGCGGCCGCCATTTTCTTGTCAGTTGCTTGTCTGTTTCTTCCGCACAAAATGGCGGCCCGGGCCGGCGGTCGCTCTCGCTGCCGGCTTTGCGAGCCCTGCCGCTGCTGAGTAAAGGCGGGGAGGAGCTCGGCAGCCCCCGCCGGGCGCGGAGGGGAGGCTGAGCGGCAGTGTTTCAGGTTAGAGCGGGGAGGCGGGATCGGGCAGTGCCTGTCCGTACGGGCCGTGCCTTTAGTGGCCTCGGCTTGGCTGCGGGATGGTGGTCTGGCCGCGGTCTGCGGGCGCCCGCACTGCCCCCCAGATTTCCCTTGGAGGGAGAAGCCGCGGCAGACATGGTGGTCTGAGGATCCACATTGCTGGTGGCGAGAGAATTTTCTAATTTTTTTTTTTTAAACTGTTGTTCATTGGCTTTTCTTCGCGCGAGTGGAGAGCGGGCTGCCGAAGCGCCGCGTCAGCGCCTCGCCTGCGTTTCCTGTTTGGGGGCTCGGGCGCCGCGGTGCGGGGCGATACCGCCTGCTTCGCCCTCGTGTCTCCCGGGGCGGCCGCCGCGGTGCGGGGGAGCGGGTCCCGCCCGGCGCCCTGGCGGAGAACAAAGAGCCGGGCGGGCGCGGGCAGCGGGCGGCGCCCGCCGGGCGGGGCGGGGGGGCGGCGGCGCCGCGCGGCGCCTGCGGGGGGCGCCCTCCGCGGCCGAGCCTTTTGTTCGCCGCCGCTGCCGCCGCCGCCATGTTGTGGCCGCTCCGCGTGCCCGCGCCGGGCGGGCGGGGGGCTCCGGGCGCATCCGGGACACTCCCAGGCTTCCCTCCCCCGGGCGTTTCTGTGCCCGTGCTCGCCGTTCCGCTACGTGAGCCATGCTCTGAGGCTCTTTATGCAAGCTGAAAGTCGAGGTGGGGGATGGGCGATGCCTTTTTTCGTTATTTGGTGGCTTAGTACGCCATTTGGACGCAGAATACACGCCTTTTACCGCATTAAGCGTGCGTTTTGTTGTCTGGTGCTTTTCAGAATTTGGCTGCTTTTTTGTGCCGTTATTAATCATAGTTTCTAAATCATGTCAGTAAAGGACTCACTGTGCTGTTTAAAAGAAAAAAATACTTGCGTTCTTTCCTGCGGATACTCTTGCCTTTTGGATAAACTTGAGGGTTTTGCTCAGTCTATGGTTCCCTTGTGTCTTTGCCCTCACCCCCGCTGGGAAACATGGCTATAATGATAAAATCGGCCTTTCTGTGACCGTCCCATAGTATTGCATGAATGAAAGGTTTCTTAATTTTTGTAAAGTTCACTGTTGGAGGGTTCTCGTTGTCGGGCAAACATTTGTACTTTTTAAAGTTAGATGTTATGGCTGATAGTAAGCAAGTATAATATGAATGCTTGGTTTGTCTTTCTAGGTTTTGTTTTTCCCTACCCCGTCAATTTAATTTTATTCTTTTGAAGATTCTTCGTTGTCAAGCCGCCAAAGTGGAGAGTGCGATTGCAGAAGGGGGTGCTTCTCGTTTCAGGTACCCTTTGTTTGTTTGAGGAGTAGTTAGCAATGGAAAATCTCCTTGGAGGGCATCTTAAATTAGTGTAATGTTTATACCAAAACGGGGATGTTTTGACTTACCCAGGATTCCGTGGTTGTTTTTAACAGTGCTTCTTCAGGCGGAGGAGGTGGTAGGGGTGCACCTCAGCACTATCCCAAGACTGCCAGCAACAGGTATGTCATCTTGCTCTTTGATTTGCATGACTTCAAAGTCAGAGCGTGCTTGATAACGAATACAGAGCTGAAAGGCTAGCTTTAAAGTTGTACCAGAAATACCTACTGAGATAGAGAGCTTTAAATGGTCTCCAGTCTGTGCCCCTTAAAGTGTACCTCATGGTTGATAGGCAGTGCATGGGCATGGGGTTGTTATGTATTTACCTTAAGAAGTGTGGAGAGTATTTTTGGGTGCCAGGCATTGTTGTTGTTGAGTACTTTTCTATGCAGCAGATGTTGCAGTGTTGGTAGGAGTAATTTTGTGCTCTTAACAAAGCAAGTAATGGAATTGGTTTGAGTAAGGCATCACTGAAAGGTTAAAAGGGCAGTTCTTTAAATCACTTGTTTCTGTTTTAACAACTGTATTCTTCAAAATTTTACAGCGAGTTCCTGGGGAAAACCCCAGGGCAAAACGCTCAGAAATGGATTCCTTCACGAAGCACTAGACGAGATGACGACTCCGCAAACGACAAAGAACGACATGATGCAATCTTCAGGAAAGTAAGAGGGTAAGTGCCTCACAAAATCACTTCTTTCCTTACTGTTTTCATGAGCAATGTGTATCTAAGAAATGGGCTGGAGGAAAGGAAGATGTAGGCCTTGAATTTGGGGGAGGTGTGTCCTTTAGCAAGGAACCAGCCTGGTAATCTAGCAGCAGAAAACACTTAAAGTAATTATTGTAAGCAGATTAGTATTTTCAGTGGTACTTCACTGAATGTGAAGATCTCAAAAAACCCAAGTGAATGGAAAATTGCACTTTAAAAAAAAAAATTTGTTGAGTCTAAAGTGACTCGTAGCATGCTTAGAGTATCTGTATATTCTGATTTTGGGTCCTTTTTTTCCTCTTTAGCATACTAAATAAGCTTACTCCTGAAAAGTTCGACAAGCTATGCCTTGAGCTCCTCAATGTGGGTGTAGAATCTAAGCTCATCCTAAAAGGGGTCATACTGCTGGTAAGCTGGTTGCATTTCTTTTAACTGCAGTTTTCTTGCATGCTGAAAAGCAGGGGGTTGGCTGGTTTTGATGGGATACAGAAGTAGCATGAAAAATGCTTTTGTGTATTTGGATTATCAAACACCATGTCCCACCCCTGCTTTCTGTGTAAAAAAGGATCTACTGGGGAGGAAGTAGTTTTAATGGTTTGAGTTTCTCATTTAGAAGTCTCCCCAATGACTAAACGTGATTGGGCTTCTATGGTTATTTTTTAAAATAAACTGAGGTGTGAGTTAGCCATCTTATTTGCTTGGCCTCCCCTTCTTCCTCTTTCCTGAGGAGCAAGCCCCACTTGGTTTTGGAAAGGCAACCACTGGTGACCTCTGGGGACACTGATGTAACTAATAATGTCACTTTCTTTAAACGAGATCAGATTGGTGACACTAACATAGGTGTTGGCATAATAAACTTGAGTTTTGGTGGCCAGGGATTACAGAGCCTTTTCAGTAGCAAGCAATGGCTTTTGTCCTTTGCTTCAGCATTGAGACTGGTGTTGGACTACAATGCTTCTGTGCTTGATTAGCAGGAAACAGGATGTTCTAGATGAGAGTGGTAATAATCCATTCTATGTCTTGTAACTCAGTCTCCTAATAACATTTGCACCCTCCTGCTGCTTGCTGCCTCTCTCACCCTGGCTCTCTGTAGATCGTAGACAAAGCCCTTGAAGAGCCCAAGTATAGCTCGCTGTACGCTCAACTATGTCTGCGACTGGCAGAAGATGCACCCAACTTTGATGGCCCATCAGCAGAGAGTCATCCAGGACAGAAGCAAAGCACAGTGAGTGCATCTCTCAATCTGCAGTGGTAAATTTTGCATGCATTTGTGACTGCCCTGATTAGCTTAATTGTTTTCTTTGTTCTCTCTTTGTAGACATTCAGACGCCTCCTAATATCTAAACTTCAAGATGAATTTGAAAACCGAACCAGAAATGTTGATAGTAAGTTTTAAAACCACTTTAATACAGAATCTTTTATTCATCTTTTCCCACAGCCATGTAAAATGGGCTTCTTTGTTTTCCAGTCTATGATAAGCATGATGGTCCCCTCCTCCCTGAGGAGGAGGAACAGAGAGCCATTGCCAAGATCAAGATGCTGGGGAACATCAAATTCATTGGAGAACTTGGCAAGCTTGATCTTATTCATGAATCTATCCTTCATAAGTGCATCAAAACAGTGAGTATTCAGATTGGGAGGAAGCTAGGAGCAAAGCAGAACTTAAAAACAAAAAAATATGCAAATATTGATGCTGCTTCGAGAATCTCGGAGCAGGAGCATAAAATGGCACAAAAATGTTTCCTGATGATTGCTCATCCCCTACTATTATCTTTTGGTGTGATTAAGAAGTAAAATCAGCTTTGTTCAATGCCATAGGAATTGTCTCTAAAGGAAAATGACCACACAAGTGTGCCCGTAGGTGATCTAAACTACACACACTTAAGAATTGGCAGATCTTAATTTTAATTTTTAAGTCCGTTTCCCTTCAGAACAAAACAATGGTTTTGTGCATGTCAGTACTTAAAGTATGTTGCTTATTATAAATTGCCATTTATAAAGTTTGTAAATCCTAAATTTCCCCTTCAATTTTTCAGCTTTTGGAAAAGAAGAAGAGAGTTCAACTCAAAGATATGGGGGAGGATTTGGAGTGCCTCTGTCAGATAATGAGGACAGTGGGACCTAGATTAGATCATGCGAAAGCCAAGGTATGTGCCTATCTAGTGCAGTCATTAACCTAATTAAATTATGTAGCTAAGACTTGATTGCCTGAACCTTCTGTATTCAGTATTCATAAGTACAAAACAGAGGTTTGATTTTTTTAGAGAAGAGAGTGCCCACTATGGTTTCTAGACTAATTCTCTTGATAGAAAAACAGTTTTAAACGTTTCACTGGGATGTAGTTAGGGTCATCAGGAGATCATCTAAATGAGAGTGTTGTTTTTCTAAACACTGCTTGAGAAGATGTGCTGAGGAACTATTCTTAGCACAGCTAGATGATTGGAGATGTGAGAGTTTGGAATGTAAGCTTAAAATGAACAGAATTTTGGCTGTGTTGCTTATCTCGGGTTCAAATGTCTGGATGCATCAGATCTTTAGACTTGGTCATCAAGGAGCTAGAGATTGCAGGAAAGAGCAGCTTGTTGCATTATTTTACCTTGAACGTCATGAGTGAAAACACTCAAGGCACTGACAGGATAATTCTCATTTGTACCTTTTGTTCCCCCAGTCCTTAATGGATCAGTACTTTGCCCGTATGCGCTCCTTGATGTCAAGTAAGGAATTGCCAGCAAGGATTCGTTTCCTGCTGCAGGTATGATGATTAAGTGGCTCCCTGCTGCATTTCTTTTCCTTGCAAAATGGTCTTGAATCCTTTCCTGATAGCCTGTTCTGTTCCAAGGATACTGTGGAGTTGAGAGAACACAACTGGGTTCCTCGCAAAGCTTTTCTTGACAATGGACCAAAGACTATCAATCAAATCCGTCAAGATGCAGTAAAAGTGAGTGTTGTGTGTGAGGTCCAGAGCCTGCCTTGGTGCTCTGCACTTGGGAGTAGTTCTCACACAGTGTCACAGTTGGCTTAAGGGTTAAAACCAGATGGACTTCTGTAGCTGGGGGCTAAAACTTTGCTTTCTTGGGGCTGCTACTTGAAACTGACCAAAAGTGTAATTCCTGTTTTAAAGGATCTGGGAGTTTTTATTCCTGCTCCTATGTCTCAAGGGATGCGAAGCGACTTCTTTCTGGAGGGACCCTTCATGCCACCCAGGATGAAACTTGACAGGGACCCACTCGGAGGGCTTGCTGATATGTTTGGACAAATGCCAGGTACCCTGACACCACAGAGTGATGGGGTGGCTGTGGCTCTGCTGTGCTGAATAAGAACTAAAACTGTCATTTGTCTCCTTGCTGATCCAGGTAGCGGAATTGGTACTGGTCCAGGGGTTATTCAGGATAGATTTTCACCCACCATGGGACGCCATCGTTCAAACCAACTCTTCAATGGCCATGGGGGTCACCTCATGCCTTCTGCTCAATCCCAGTTTGGAGACCTAGGCAAATCTTTTCTGAAAAGTCAGGTAAGGAAGCTGTTTGCACGGTGACTTCAGCTTGTTTAGAAGCACTTCCTGAGATGCGTATGTTATGGATTAAAGTCTGCTTATGTTAAAAGACCTATTCAGATTTGATTCTGATAACTGATGCTCAGCTGATACAAAAATTCTAAACCACTTTTTAAATAGTACAAAAGAAGTACACTTTTTTTTTTTAACTGCAAGAAAAGGTGCATGTGGCTTTGGTGGGTCAGAACGGTGTGTTTTATTTAAAAGATGGCCCTGTTTTTAGGGATAGATGCTACCCTCCCACCACCCCTGCTCCTTCTTTCTCCCTTCCTGGCAAATAGAATCTTTGTTCCTCTGGTCCCTCTGGTACTACTTACCAAATGATGTACGCCACTCCATCATCTGCACTTCTTTCTCTATATCTCCCTTTCTGAAATAGGGGCAAAGCCAACTCTACCATACCCAGAATCAGGGACTCTTATCCCAGCAACAAGGACAGTCGAAGGATATGCCACCTCGGTTTTCTAAGAAAGGACAGCTTAATGCAGATGAGGTACATGACATGCCTACATTATTTACAGCCTATTCTAAATATTGCCCAATGATTATAGCAAGACGCGTTATTATGAGGACTAATGCTGGAACTCTTTCTCCTCCTCCTCGTTCTCCTCCTTCTTTGTCCCTTCCTCTTTCACCTTTTACCCCCCTCACTTTCCTTAGGGTATCCAGCGTCCTATGAGCAAGACTGAGATATGAGGGCAATTTTTTGGGGTGTCCTTTCCTTCCCACACACTTCCAAGAACACTACTCTGACATCAGTTCCCATGCATCCTATTGATAACAAAACATTTAATTAAAACTTCAGAAAATCCTGAACTTTAGAAACCCTGAAGTGCTGGACCAGGTTAATTTTTTTTTTATTTTCTTTTGTTTAGAACTGGCTAATAGGCAAAATTTCAAATGCAGAGTGAACTGCGTTGTGATTTTGAGTGTTAACCAGACTTGTATCGCGATTTCTGAGCAATTTGGTAGAGTTTCATTTTGGCTATAAAGTATATCAGCAAGCATGCTGATTATCTTCTTGGGTCTCTAACATACTGCATCTAAAAGGAGCATTTCCAGATTTTTATAGTAGTTGAACTAAATGCCAGTAACTTGCTTTTGGGGGAGTTTCAGAACACATGTGGTTTAATCTGTATTTGAGTATTAATATTGTAGAAATGGAGTCATGCTTCAGTGAGATCAATTGGAGCGAGTCCATGGCTGTGTATTGTTGGTCAGAATACTTGAAACAGTTTGAGTTTTTCTTTGACTTACTGTTTACAGATTAGCCTGAGACCTGCTCAGTCTTTCCTGATGAATAAAAACCAAGTGCCAAAGCTTCAGCCCCAGATAACTATGATTCCTCCCAGTGCTCAACCACCACGCACTCAGACACCGCCTTTGGGACAGGTAAATACAAAAAATTCCTGCATCTTTTTGGCTATACTTTCCTGTTTGTGCTTGGAAAACTTAAATTTCATATGTGGGGAGACAGAAGTCTTTGATTGCACAGAGCAGGACTTGGGAAGAGAATGTATGAAACCAAACCAATTTGAGTTCCATCTGCTTTTTATGTTTTGTATTGTAAAACTCTCACAAAGAAATAAATTCTGGTCTCTTTTTCAGCCGCCTCAACTTGGTCTTAAAACAAATCCACCACTTATACAAGAGAAGCCTGCAAAGACCACCAAGAAACCACCTCCTTCTAAGGAAGAGTTACTTAAACAAACTGTAAGTTAGTGTGCAGTAGTGAATCTTGGAGCTTTGGATGTGATCTTCAAAAACCATGTGTAACTGTGCTTCTTTCCTCTCCAGGAGGCTGTTGTGACTGAGTATCTGAACAATGGAAATGCTAATGATGCTGTCAACACTGTGAGAGAAATGAGAGCTCCAAAACACTTCATTCCTGAGATGCTGAGCAAAGTAATCCTTCAATCCCTAGATAGATCAGATGAGGACAAAGAGAAAGCAAGTACTTTGATCAGCTTGCTCAAGCAGGAGGGAATAGCCACCAGTGACAACTTCATGCAGGTATTGTGGTCTGATAATCTTGCAGTTCTTGTTTCTTGGCTCTTCATGGTGTTTAGCTGCTGTAAAGGTGGTGTGCAAATATTGGTTTTTTAACTCCTGCTAGTGTGAGGAGATAAAAATAGCACATGAACTTGTGAGAGGCACAAGAAGCAATAAAACGAAGACATGCAGTGATAAGGCAGCTGCAACCTGGGATCCTCTTTGCAAGTGATTACAGAAAACATGAGTATTATGTTGCACAGGAACAGAATTACTTAGGAATTTAATTGTGTGTTTACTGTTTTTTAGGCATTCCTGAATGTATTGGACCAGTGCCCCAAACTGGAGGTGGACATCCCATTGGTGAAATCCTACTTAGCACAGTTTGCAGCCCGTGCCATTATTTCAGACCTGGTGAGCATTTCCGAACTGGCTCAACCACTGGAAAGTGGCACCCACTTCCCTCTCTTCCTGCTCTGTCTTCAGCAGTTAGCTAAGTTACAAGACCGTGAATGGCTAACAGAACTGTTCCAACAAAGCAAAGTGAATATGCAGAAAATGTTACCAGGTAAGATTTGCCACAGAGCTCTTCTGTTACCTGATCTAGAGTAAGCGAGATGTTGTTCTAGTTTATGCCAGAGTAAAAGAACGTGCAGGGTTCTCTTGGTGGAATGAGCTGTCATTATTGTTAGGAATGATGTTTTTTAAGGGGGGGGCTGGAGCATGAACCTTCACTTAAAGATCTTGAGAAGTGCTTAACACGTGTCTTTGTTTCCTTGTCAGAAATTGACCAGAACAAGGACCGCATGCTGGAGATCTTGGAAGGGAAGGGGCTTAGCTTCTTGTTCCCGCTTCTGAAACTGGAGAAGGAACTGCTAAAGCAAATAAAATCGGATCCATCCCCTCAAGCCATCTATAAGTGGATTAAAGATAACATTTCACCCAAGCTTCATGTAGATAAGGGATTTGTGAATATATTGATGACCAGGTGGGATGCTGTTTTGATGTATTTTTAGGTATTTGTTCAGTTAAGCTACCAGTACGGCACTAATTCTGTAAAGGCTCAGATGTAGCTCTGCAGAAGTCTGAGATGCAGTGCATGGGGAGACAGAGTGTTCTGAGTGAACCTTCTCTAGTAAAATCCCATTGTATTTGAGAAGAAAGGCAAGTCTCCAGGCTTGCATCAGTATGTGAAGTGGTTTCTTGGGCAGGAAGTCTAGGTCCATGTGTTTTTCTAAAATGTAAAGCTGTAACAAAAGCAGAACAAGGATTTTTCTGGTGCGCTCTCAACCATAGTACAAGTCCCTATGCTTGCTCCTGACTACAGGTGGAAGCAGGATAGTTGCGGTGATAGCTATCTGAACTTTTTATATGTCAAGTGCTTTGATCTCTTAGTTTATAGAACTTAATTTGGCTTTTCTTCTGTCCAGTTTCTTGCAGTATATTTCTAGTGAAGTAAACCCACCCAGTGACGAATCGGATTCTTCATCTGCTCCATCTAAAGAGCAGCTTGAGCAGGAAAAACAGCTGCTTCTTTCCTTCAAGCCGGTGATGCAGAAGTTCCTCCATGACCATGTTGATCTGCAAGTGAGTGCTTTATATGCACTCCAGGTGCACTGCTACAACAACAATTTTCCAAAAGGTAAGTACATTGAGGTTTCACTCCAGTTGGCTTGTCCCTACATTTCTTAAAATTCAGCAAGTGGTTGAGAAGGTTATAAAGCTAACCAAGTGTAAATTGACTTTCATAGGCATGTTACTGCGCTTCTTTGTTCATTTCTATGACATGGAGATCATTGAAGAAGAAGCCTTCTTGGCATGGAAAGAAGACATTACTCAAGAGTTTCCAGGGAAAGGCAAAGCTTTATTCCAGGTAAATCTCCTAACATTAGTATATAGACTTGGTTTTTTGTTGATTTCTGCTGTACTGGAGTGTTTGAGAAGACTGCTGAAGTGTGTAAGACTTGTAAATATCTAGAATCTTCATGGAATATTCCACTAGGAGCACGATGACCTGAATCTCTCCTATTGACTGGAGGCCTATGTGTAGTGCAAATATGGATGAAAGTTCTTTTCAAATGAGATGGGGGGAGGAGAAGATGAGTGTTTTATGGAAAAACCTAATGGGGAAACAATTACTGCTCCCTTAAACCAATTTTGTGTAACTGCAGGTAAACCAGTGGTTAACCTGGCTGGAAACTGCTGAAGAAGAAGAATCTGAAGAAGAAGCTGACTAAAGAACCAGCCAAAGCCTTAAATTGTGCAAACATACTGTTGCTATGATGTAACTGCATTTGACCTAACCACTGCGAAAATTCATTCCGCTGTAATGTTTCACAATATTTAAAGCAGAAGTATGTCAGTAGGATATTCTCTGCAAAAGGTTTTTGTAGTATGTCTTAATAGTCTACAATAAAAATATTTTAGAGTATCTTCAATGTTTAGATAACAGTGTATTAGCAGCATGCAATAATTACATCATAAGTTCTCGAGCAGAAGCAGTCTGTTGCAAGGGTCTTCTTTGCTGCCAGTTATCATAGGCTGTTTTTAAGTTAGAAACTGAATAGCAACACTGAATACTGTAGAAATGCACTTTGCTCAGTGTAATACTTGAGTTGTTGCAATATTTGATTATCCATTTGGTTGTTACAGAGAATCCTTAACTGTAATCGATGGTTGTTGCCGTAATAGTATATTTGCCTGTATTTCTACCTCTAGTAATGGGCTTTATGTGCTAGGTTTTAATATCCTTGAGCCTGGGCAAGTGCACAAGTCTTTTATAAAAGGAACAGTTTACTTGCACAAAAACTGATCGGCTGAAGAGATGGTTTAATGCCCTTTGGAAGAGGTTTTTGTGGGTGTGAAACATGACATGGTGAGAAATTTGAATTGGTCCCTCTTACAGTACTGAAATTAAGTCTATTAATTTATCAAGACATGTTCATGCCCTGATTTTATATACTTGTATCTATCAATAAACATTGTGATACTTGACTTGTTTCTGAATGTCTCCCAGTAGAAAAGCTTTGGCTGATGACTTGTTCACCTAAGAAATTAAACATCAGTGGGAGTTGCCTTAGGTTGCAACCATCCTGAAATTATTTTTACACTCCTTGTCTGGATATGCAGATGAATTCTAAATAAGGTCACAGACAAGATGAGATAGTACAGCTGTGTTGTGACAGGAGGAGAATGATGGAGTTCTGCTGAAGAAATGGTAGGGTTTGCCTTGTGGTGCAATGTATGCTTTATCAGTGAGTATGTGCTTTTGACTTCGTAAATGCCTTTGAGCTTCCCCCCAGGCCACATGCATGTTTCTGAATCAAGTGGCACTGTCTATTAGCTGCCTGTTTCTCAAATCAAATTGGCAAAAAAAATTGCCTACAAAAGAGTTGAATGATGTTGTACAGGCTTGAAATGTCATCTATTAAATACTCAAAACACCTTACTTCCTAGAACCTTGTCCCCAGTGAGTTTTTTTGTCCTCATTGCTACTCAAGACTTACATTCTTAAAAGGTGATATATTTGTAGTGGCTCCTGGACTGGAGCTTTTTTGCCAGTGGTGTGAGTGCTGTAGCCTGTGAACTGTTACACAGCACAGGAAGTGAAGTGGAGCCCAAGAAAAGGACTAGAGCTGATAACTAGGCTTGCTTTGAGGAAAGGGAGAGTTGGAGGTGGCAGTGGAGCACCTTGTAGCGCTGCAGCTGGGAAAGTCGTGGTTTGCTTTGAAGGGCTCCCTAACTCCAGTCACAGCTCTGCCCTCCTGAGTGTTCTGAGCCATGGTCTGTCAGGGAGTTCTGCTGCCCTGGGAGCTCCTATGCAGTGTGGAGCCCAGGAACTTCAGGGACTGTGCTCTCCAAGCCAAATGACAAAGGGCATTGAGTTTGAATGGCTGGCAGAATTCATGGCCCCATCTCTGCATTTCAGAAATGGGGTGTATGAAGGGAGAGCAGGGGATGCTGGTGTGGGTGGGGTCCAGTTTGGAGACAGGAATGCTTCAAATGCCGTTCAGTGGCTCGAGGTTGAGAGCTGGCTGTGTGTGATGGAGCTGCAACTCCTGGGTGGCAGTGGTGAGCACTGACATCCTGGGCTTCCCAGAACACTTGGTGATATGTTGTTCTCTGAAACTCGTGACCTTCCTATCTATGGAGAGATACAGTCACTGGTAGAACTACAGGGGCTCAGGTGCATGTGTGCTATGGGCACTAAGGTTCTGCAGTTCAATACTCACTTAACAGGATGGACAAATGCAACTACAGTTAGAGGATTCATTTAATCCTAACTATTTCAAAATTTTGTTCTAGAATTGCTTTTTAAAGTGTAACAAGTGCTGTGAAGTGAAAGTTACCATTGTTTCACTGAGAGTGTTGTGTTTTTCCAAGTTTGTCAGTTTCTCCTTGAACTTTGCTGTTACTGCTGGTTGGTTTAGTGGTGTATGGTGCTATAATACTTCCTGTGTACATGGTCATCTCTATGTGAAGCATGTGATGCACTTTGCTCCTGTGCCCTGCAGAGGGAAGATGGGGAGGAACCACAAGGCAGGAAAGAGTGGTTTCTAACTCAAGTTATATCAGAGGTGAGAAGGTAGAAGGATGTGCAAGTAAAAATGGAAATAGATCCAGAATCTGCAGCTAAGCCTTTCTGCCACATTTTGGAGAAGGCTGAGCTGGCAGCTCTGGGCTCCTTGCCACAGTAACTAAGCCTTGTATTCTTGCCCAGTCTGACATGTCCTTACTACAGCCTTATGTACCTGTGCATGGAGGCTTTGCTGCTTGGCTTGTTTCTAACTGACCACTGAGTTAGGAACTCTGGTAGAGAAAACTATAGAAAGAACAACTAAAAATGCAGAATAGAACATACACAGTAGAAAATGCCACTAAAAGGTGGAATTAGCGTTACATGACTTGGAGAATCCTCATGCAGTGTGAACAGCTCTGGGTTCTTCAAACTGGTGTAAAAATGGTGCTTGCTGCAGTGTGCACATCAAAGTGATCTCTCCATAGATGAGGAGAGGTGGTAGCATCTTCACAATCTTTTCTGCTGCTGAAGTTTTAAAGTGCTCAAGTGCAAAACTTGTAGCTAATCTGGAACAGGGATGGCTGTTGGTTGGTCTCACTTCTGTGTTCCTGTTAACTGTGAGTGGCATTGTACTTAAAATGTAAACAGAGTGCTTAATTCTACATAGTAAAGTCAGTCAAAATTAAACCACTGTAACTGATTAATTATAATGGCTTCTATTAATATTATTTTTGTTAAGGGTTGGGTATAATTATACTGCTGGGAGCATTGGGAGAAACTGCATTTTACACATATTTCCTACACTTAGAGCAACTCAGTTGATACTCTGAAATTCAGAATTAGGTTGCAGCTCCTATTCAGGAACCCTCATCCTGTCAGGAGGGGGTTGGATTTTGAGAAGGACCTGTCAGGGTGAATTCTCACCTGCTCCTAAACAGTGTCACAGTTGGACAGCTGCTGCCTCGTCACTGATCACAGCAGTAGGCCACCATCTGTCCAAGCTGCAGTGGTGCTTAGGTATGAAATCTGAGAATTCCAGGAATGTGTTCTGATCATTGAATCCTGGAAAATCATCTGTTCTAGCCCCTCTGTGATGTGCAGGGACACCTCCCAAAGAGACCAGCTTGTTCAAAGTTTCATTAAGCCTGGCCTTGAACGGTTACAGGGATGGGGTGGCCACATTCTCTGGGAGCCTGTTCAGTGTCCACCACCTTCATAGTACAGCATTTCTTCCTTTTACCTCACCTCAACTCTTTTAGAAGCCATTCCCCCTTGTCCTGTCAGTACCTGCCCTTGTCAGAAGTCCCTCTCCACCTCTTGTAGGAGAACCTTACACAAGCTCAACAACCCCAACTTCAGCCTCCTCCCCCTGGGAGGGCTGTTCCAAATCACCTGATCAGGTCCCAAAAGTCAAAACACCTGCAGTTCTGTTGCTTGGGGAACAGTGCAGGAAGAAGCCTTACAGTGTGTGGGAAAAGGGGGAGGCTTGGGTCCAGAACAAAATTTTTTAAGAGTGGCTTATCTGACCTGCTTTTTTAGCAGATAGAAGCTTCCCTCTGAATGCTGTTTGGACTTGGAGTGCTTTTTCCCTTTTTTCCCAGAGCAGTGTGTAAATCCAAACAATTTGATCATTTCAGTGCACTCCTGAACTGTACAAATTTAGAACACATCTGAACCATGAATTATCATGGCTTATGTTGCAACCCAGGCAAGCAGCTGCAGAGACTGATTAAAAAAGAGTCTCTTGCTAATTCATGCTTATTCTCCAAAGTGAATTCCCAGGGAGCTGGTACAGCAGTGTGAAGGGTGGTGGGCTTGTGCTCACAGGTACCTGAGAAACCCCCATTTATCAACTGTGGTTGCTGCAGTGTTTGCTTCAAATGGTGCTCAGCTCCAGCCTTGTCCTGGTGAGGGGGGTGTGCAAGGCCTTGGGCTATGTGGCACCACTGATGTCACAAGGATTCCCCTCAATTTGGGAGGAGGTCCATACTTGGAAGCTGATAAATAGCCATGGTGCATCTCCTACATTAAATGACTTGAATGAATATTAGAAGGGACAAGAGAGTGAGTCTGGTGGCAGAATGGGTCAAGGTAATGCCTTTTCCCCTCACCTCACACAAATCTGTAAATTGATCACTGCTCTTCTTGTATCTCCAATGCTGTTGGCCACCAGCAGGTCCTCTTGTCCAGCAGGCAGGGATGGGCTCAGTTCAGGGGGCAAGGTCCTGTAGGTACATCTCTAGCCTGGGATGATTTTATCTCCACACAATGCATCTGGAAAAGCAAAACAGAAACAGCAGCTGAGCTGGGAGCTGTGCTCTGTGACAGCAAAGAGAAAAAGCTGCACAGCTACAGTTGCAGGCATCACATGTAACAGTAATTTAAAGGAGATGTATCAACATGGCTTTGAGGTTTTTTTATGCCAGGGTGGTTCTACATACAACACAAGATATACCCCAAAAATCTTGTCAGTACTTCAGAAATAGCTGTATTTGTAATCCAGCAAGATACAAGCTGGTTACAGTATCTCCCTGGATCCACCCCTATCCTGGCATTTCAGAATAAGCTTCACTTCTAAAAGACCAAGAATTCTCCCAAACAGGTTCAGCCCTTTCCCTCTGAAGATCAGGGACTAGGATTCTTCAGGCAGGAGTTCCTTGAATAATGTGCCTTTTAAGTGGTGCTGTAAAGGCACACAGGCTTGTCTGGGTTTGATTTAGGGAGCCCACATCCCTTTCCATTAAGGGAGGGGAGTTGGAGAGGAGTGAACTGTTATTTTTAATGAGTTGACGAAGCAGCCATGGCAACAGTTACACTTGGCATGGATACATGGCTGGAGTGAGGAAAGCAGCCAGCTGAGGGGATTTTTATCTTCAAATATTTTGCAGTTTAGAACAACGTCAATCTTGCATTTAGTTTTTGTTTATGTTAGCAGTAGAAGTGCTTGAAGAATCTGGTGTGTGAAGTATTCCCAGAATTTTATTATCTAAGAAGAAGTGTAAAACCACTCAACTTTGTGAAAGGAAAAGGGATTTTTAACTGGTTTGATAGTGTGGAGGAGTTTATAGAGTTTGCTCTGTTACAAAATAGATGCTTCTCTTTTTGGTAGGACAAAGTGAAATTTGAGATGTGGAAGTACACAGAGTTAAAACTGAAAGACAGGTGAAGGCTTGATCTGCCTTTCTTTAGGGATTTTGTTTAACCCTTTAAGAAATGATTGCATGTCCTTTCAGATTTCAGAGACAGCTGCCTCCACAGCAGAGTAACAAACAAAGCTCCAGGCACATGCAGCATGCCAGCTTTGTGTTCCTTCCCAGTTCCTTCCCAGAGCCATAAAGCAGGGGAAGGATTAAAGCCCTGGGTTTTTCTATTTGTACAGATATACACACATACATATTATGTATATCCCCATTTATCTTTATTCCTTTTATTCCCCTTGGAGAAATGCCATTCAGTTACTTGGTTATTTTAAGCT